CAGCTCCAGGTTGAGCTGTTGTTCAGCATCTTAGCTGTAGAGGGCAGTGTCACTGGCCCTCATATGTGGGATCTGAACTGGGGCCCTCTGGCGTCCCAAGCCAGTTCTTAACCATCGCGCCACTCGGCCGGCCCCAGGCCCCACTTCTAATTCTCTTGCTGTTTCCACATCTGCAGTTACTTCTTGAACCCCTCTAAGTCATCTGTGAGGGTTGGAATCCACTTCTTTTAAACTCCTGTTAATGTTGATATTTTGACCTATTCCCATGAATCATGAATGTTCTTTATGACATCTAGAATGGTAAATTCTTTCCAGAAGGTTTTCAATATAGTTTGCCCAGATCCATCAGAGGAATCACTATGTATAACAGCTTCAAAGGCCACTGTTAAGGTTAATAATTGGCCTAATTTCAATATTATTGTGTCTCAGGGAATAGGGAGGCCAGAGGAAAAGCACTGAGATGGAAGAACAGCTGGTTGGTGGGGCAGTTAGAACACACACATTTATTAAGTTTGTTGTCTTATATGGATGCAGTTCATGGTGCCCCAAAACAATTATAATAATAACAACAAAAATCACTGATGACAGATCACCATAACAAAAATAATAATCATCAAAAAATTTGAAATCTTGCAAGAATTACCAAAATGTGACACAGAGGCACAAAGTGAGCAAATGCTGTTGGAAAAATGGTGCCGAGAGACTTGCTCCATGCAGGGTTGCCACACATCTTCAATTTGTAAAAAATACAACCTCTGTAAAGCACAATAAAGCGAGGTATATCTGTATTTGCCCTGTGTGTAGGGTACTCGTGAGGAGATGTGGGATGAAAGGGCACGTGCATTTTCCAGCCTTGGTGCTGCACAATTTCAGCTGCTGTGAGTTCTCTGAGTTCCAAGCTTCTGCACTTCCATCGCTATTATTTCTCTTCAGTCCTGTTCAACTTTTTATTTTTCCCATTCCATTTGCTTTGTTTTCTTAGGAAAAATCCTGTGTTGCCACCTTTTCTGGAGTGTTTAGCCTCTTTTTTGCAGGTTCTAAACATGGCTTTTAGTTTTATGTACAATATGATGATTTGATGTACATATATATTGTGAAATATCTATAATAACATTAGTTAACACATCCTTCACTTGTCATAAGGCCCATTTTTGTTGTTGGTATGGTGAGAACATTTAACATGTACTCTCTTAGCAACTACCAAGTATATAACACAGTATTGTTAACTATAATCACCATGCTGTACATTAGATCTCCAAAACTTACTCATCTTATTACTGGAAGTTTAAATCCTTTGACCACCTTCACCCATTTCCCCCACCAATCTACTCTGTTTAAATGTGTTCAGTTTTTTTGGATATCACTTACATATTCAACATATAAGTGAAATCATAGAGTATCTGTCTTTTTCTGTCTGACTTATTTCACTTAGCATAATGCTCTCAAGTTTTATCTATCTTGTTGCAAATGGCAGCATTTCCTTCTTTTTTAATAGGTCAATAGTGTGTGTGTGTGTGCATGTGTGTGTATATGCATTCTCTTTATCTATTTATCCATTGATAGACATTTAGGTTGTTTCCATATCTTGGCTGTTGCAAATAACGCTGCAATGAACATGGGGTGTACTGACATCTCTACCAGACAGTGATTTTATTTCCTTTAGATCAATATGCAGAAGTGGGATTGCTAGATCATATGGTCATTCTAGTTTTAATTTTTTGAGGAACCTCCATACTACTTTCCATAGTGACTACTAGACCAATTTGCATTCCCACCAACAATGCACAAGGGTTTCCTTTTCTCCGCATCCTTGCCAATACTTGTTATTTCTTGTACCTTTGATAATAGTCATTCTGACAGGTGTGAGGTGATATCTAACTATGGTTCTGATGTGCACTTCTCCGATGATTAGTGATGTCAAGTACCTCACCTTTTCATGTACTCGTTGGCCATCAGCGTGTCTTCTTTTGAAAAAGAGTCTATTCAGGTCCTTCGTTCATTTTAAAATCTGATTTTTTTTCCCTGTTATTGAGTTATATGAGTTCCTTATATATTTTGGCTATTTACCCCTTATCAGATAGATGGTTTACAAATGTTTTCTCCCATTCTGTAGGCTGCCTTTTCATTCTTTCGATGTACAGGAACCTTTTAGTTTGATGTAGTCCCACTTGTTGATTTCTGCTTTTGTTTCTTGTGCTTTTAGTGTCATATCAAACAACAAAACAAACAAACCAACCTTGCCAAGACCAATGTCAAGGAGCTTTTTCTATTTATCTTTTGAGTTTTATGCTTTCACGACTTAACACTGAAGTCCTTAATCCATTTTGAGTGAATGTTTTGTAAGTGGTATGAGATAAAGGTCGATTTCATTCTTTTGCATGTGAATATCCAGTTTTTCCAACACCATTTATTGCAGTGACTATCCTTTCCCTGTTGAGTATTCTTGGCTCCCTTGTCAAATATTAGTTGAACGTATGTGCATGATTTATTTTGGGGCTCCCTATTCTGTTCCATTGATCTCTGTGTCCGTTTTTGTGCCCGTACCATGCTATTTTGATTACTATAGCTTTGTAGTATAATTTGAAACCAGGGAGCATGATACCTCCAGCTTTGTCTTTTCTCAAGATGGCTTTGGTTATTTAGGTCTTGTGTGGTTCCATACAAATTTTGGGATTATTTGTTCCAGTTCTGTGAAAAATGCCATTGGAATTTTGATAGGGATTGCATTATGTCTGTAGATTGCTTTATGTAATATGGATATTTTAATAATACTTTTATAATCCATGAGCATGTTTTTTCTTTTCATTTTTTTGTGTTGTTTTCAATTTCTTTCATTAATGTTTTCTTATAGTTTTCAGAGTACAGGTCTTTCACCTCCTTGGTTAATTTCATTCCTACATATTTTATTCTTTTTGATTCAACTGTAAATGGGGTTGTTTTCCTAATTTCTCTTTCTGATAGTTAATTATTGATTCCCTATTGTTCCAAAGAACATAGTTTGGAAGATACTATTCTGAGTAAATCTCAAGTTGTGATATATTAGAGTCTTTTCCTTTTTTTAAACAATAGAATCAAAGTGTAAGAAGGGCATTTTTTACATAGTTATCTTTAAATGGGAAATTGCTTCTTGAAACCCCACCATAATAAAATATAGAAGACACACATTTGCATTTTAGCTTTTTACCACCTGGTGTTCTGAATATTGGCTAAGTTGTTCCTACCTTGTAGTAGTTTTCATCAGCACCAAGTGCCTTGGAAAGCCCAAAATCACTGATCTTGGCATAATGTTGAGTAACCAGCAATACATTTCTTGCAGCTAGATCTCTATGCACAAAATTGCACTCCTCCAAATATTTCATTCCCATAGAAACTTGATGAACCAGTTCTATGATGTTCTTATCTTTCACATGCCTGAAAGTCACAAGTATGTCATTAGTGATAGTGGATGATAGTACATTTCAGAACAACCAACCATGCTCCTCAGACAGAAAATAAATCCTCTCATTTCCTATTCCTCTTAAGCAAAAGTCAAGAGTGGTGATAAATATCTGTGTTAACCTATAACTGTTCAAAAGTTATTACCATTCTTCTGGTGGTCGATTGGTACAATTTTCACAGCATGTTTTGAATTGCATGAAAAGTAGTAAAATGGCATGATCAGACCTGGTCAGAGAGCCAGGCTTCAGCTGGAATCCTTGTTCCAATATTGGGTAGGTAACAAAACCAACCCTGAATCTCAGTTTCTTACCTGTCAAGTGGGGGTAACAACACATCTCTTCTATGTAGATTAAAGATACAATCTAAATAAAGTACAAATACATTGTAGCAAATGGGAGGAGGTAACCAGTGGCTATTCTTATGAGTCTGCCATCTCAACAATGGCTTTAGAGAAGTACAGCATGATTACTCCATTCACCATTGTAATGAATTAATAGCAACAGGTATTTTCAGAAGTAATTACTCATGGGAATGTAGAGGTCAGCCAGGCATGTAAGACATCATTGTTATCCCTTATAAAACATTTATTAAATATTTATTGTAAAAGAGCATGGTTTTCGTAGTGTGGGGAGGTTTACTGTCAAGATAGTCTAAAGTTGATTCTATCACTGGGCTAATACAGAGTGAGCAAAGGAGGATTGAGAACCAGATTGTTGGATTAGAGTTTTTATTTGTGCCAATGAGTTAAAAGAACTCTTGATTCGAAGGTTACAGCTCTCTTCCCTCCTCTCTGAAGGTCCCTGAGTGTGGACCGACACTGTGAAAGCATGGGAGGAGAGAGGCTGCCCGTAGAAATCAGGCAGGTGAGCCCTGCCCTCACAGTATCAACTTCTGGGGTACCTAATGATACCTGTTTTGCTGTAAATATTTATTGAGTGGACCAAGTTCCGCCATCTCCATAACCAGCATCCAGGACTCGGCTTCACAAATCCCAATCATGCGAACGATGTAAGGGTTGTCGAGTTGCTGCATGACATTTGCTTCTGCTAATAGCTCATTTTTAAGAGCCGGGTCATTGGCCTCATTTTTCAAGATTTTCACAGCCACTGTTTTCACAACTCTGCAAAAGACATCATAACGCATAAGAAACTTTTCACAGTGGCTCACTTCTAGATAATTATCTCCAATGAAGCATAATTCCTAGAATTATGCAAGAAATGGTGTTCTGTGAATAATTGCAACAGAATGGAAATGCATCTTAAGAAGCCATGCTATAAGTGACTAGTTTTCCAACCATGTTCTCTCATTTTATAGACAAAAACAGTAACAGGTCATTAGTTAAAAATAATGGGGATGGTGATGCAGAATGCCCCAACCAAGTATAAAGCCTAAATATAATAGAATATTTAAATAATTTTCAAATAAACCTTACAAACTATGACATACATGGATTCCTATAACATCTTGAGATTCACCATCTCAGATTACATGTAGTGTATGTAAATACAACACTCCTTTAATATATGTTAAACATGAATTTCTGGATGCAGAAATAAAAAGCATACACTATTAAAGCTCATAGTTTACAAAATACTTTTAAGCTGAGCTTTGTTAATTTTAAGCAAGCTTCAACAATTTTACAAAAAGTTATTTTTTATTTTCTAATAAAAACATCACACAGGTAATGTTTGAACTTGTGGCAATATTCTGATATAGTGGGGCTGAAATAAATGAATCGAAATTATGTATGGTTTGAAAAACTGCATCACTCTGTGATACAATTCCCACAAATGTAGGAAGTATACCTCCTCTGTTGAACTCCAACATGGGAGAATAAAACCAGAACTATCCAATAAAACAGGTAAAATAAGAGAATAGCAGAGTAAGTCTGACATACATTCAGAAAAGCAGACAACTTCAGTGTAGAACTCAACAAGTGTTTACACAGTGAACAGATGGAAACACAGAATACCACCAGCACCCCAGAAGCACCCACCTCATCCTCCTCCACATGGAAATATTGTCTATGTTATTTCTATAAAATTCATTGTTTCACCTTCACAGTTCAGTCTATCATTCATCTGGACTGGTTTTGTATATGGTGTGAGGTAGGGGTCAAAATTAACAAGCAACAACTTCTTGATTCTTCCCAATGTTTAAGGCAGAAATAATACCCACACCCTCTCCCAGGAAAGAAGAGAAGGAAATTTCCTAACTCATTTTATGAGGCCAGCATTACCCTGATGCCAAAACCAGACAAAGAAATTATAATAAAATAATTTACTGATATCCCTCATGAACATAGAAGCAAAAATTCTGAGAAATATTAGTAAATTCAGTGAATTATGAAAGATATTATGAATATATAATTCATGAACAAGATGGATTTATTCCAGGAATGCAGGGTGGGTTTAATATTTGAAAATCAATCAGTGTAATTAACCACATGAATTTAATAAAGGAGAAAAACCATATGTTTATCCAGGAGAGGAAAAATAAATTCAATAATATGTAAAACACATTAGTGATGAAAAACAAATCTCTCGGAAAAGTAAGGACAGACAGAAATTTTCTTAATCCAATAAAGAACAGCTACAAATCTAATAGTGAAACACTGAAAGTTTTCCTCTGAAATCAGGAATGAGGAATGAGGCTACTGCCACTTTTATTCTACATTGAGCCACAGTTCCTGTGTAATACAATAAGACAAGAAAGAAATATAAAAAGTATAAAGATTAGACAGAATGAAATAAAACTGTCATAATTCACAGATGACACATTTCTGGGTTAAAGATAACATAAATAAACTACTAGAAATAATAAGTGAGAGATAATAGGTGAATTCATCAAGGTTGCTGGGTATTAGGTCAATAGGCAAAACCAGTTATATTTCTACATTCAACCAACACCAGGGATTAGCAAATAACATTTACAATATCATACCATACATATTAACATCAAGAGCACTAAATACCTACAACTGAATCCAACAAAAAAAAGTTGTACACGAACTCTACAAAGAAAACTAAATAACTCTGCTGAGAGACCTGCAAGAAATTAAAGATGACCCAAGTAAATGGAGGGATGGGTCATGTTTATTGATTGGAAGACTCAAGACTGCAAAGAACTCATTGTGCCCCAAATTGACCCATAGGGCCCCTCTCTTCCCAAACCCTCTAGTTGAAACTATGCATCTATAATCATATCTATGTTAATTTACACATATAATTAAGCAAAAAATTTAAGGATCACAAACAAGTTGTGAAAATGTATACCTTAATACAGGATAATTTAAATTCATTTTACAAAATGACTGTGGTGTACATACATATATTTTAAAATAAGCATATTATTCAATTTTATATATACAAGGTGTGATCACAAAATAGTGAATATTTAAATTAAAAAAATTATTAAAGTGAAATACACATCGCCATTAATCCCCCTCAAAATACTCTCCTTTGCTTCAAACACACTTATCCCATTGTTCTTGCCACTTTCTGAAGCAGTTCTGGAAGTCCTCTTTCATGAGTATCTTTAGTTGTGCTGTCATGGCTGCCTCGATGTCCTGAATGGATTCAAAACGTTTACCTTTCATGGTCATTTTGACTTTGGGGAACAGCCAGAAGTCGCGTGGTGCCAGATCCAGTGAATAAGGTGGATGGGGACACACCATAATGTTTTTACGTGACAGAAATTACCATACCAGAAGCAATGTGTGACATGGAGGATTTCCGTTGTGATCACAAAATACAGTGAATGCTGCTGCTGGGTGCCATCCAACGGAAAGACAGGGATCTTCAGTACAGGAAGTGGTGTGTCAAACCTCAGTAACAGTGTGTAATAAGTTCCAACTTGTTCGATGCAGTCAATTGGGTATGAGCTACGGTTGAGGGAAGGTGTGTTTTAAAGTGTGCCATAAATCATCCTCCATCACGACAATGCTCCGTGTCACACATCGCTTCTGGTACAGCAATTTCTGTCAAATAAAAACATTACAATGTGTCCTTATCCACCTTATCTGGCTGTGTGTGACTTCTGGCTCTTCCCCTAAGTCAAAATGATTCAGGACATCGAGGCAGCCATGACAGCACAACTAAAGACACTCATGAAAGAGGACTTCCAGAACTGCTTCAGAAAATGACAACAATGATGGGGTAAGTTTTTTAGAAGCGAGGGGGAGTATTTTGAGAGGGATTAATGGCAATGTATCTTTTACTATAATAATTTTTTTTTATTTAAACAGTCACTGTATTGTTTGAGCACACCTCATACACTTACTTACACACACACACACACACACACACACACACACACACACAAGGAAGGGGAAGGATCGAAAGCAAGAGAGTCTATGCATACTTATATCTATACTCTTGACTCCTGAATCATGTAAATTACCTACTCAAGAAAAAAATTATTTAAATTTAAAATATCATTGAACAACAAAACCAACATTATTCATATCAGTAACATACTAATTCAAACATACATATTCAAAGAGAATTTGTTTCAAAGGAATTTAGAAACCACTATTTTACTGAATATTCTATGTGGGTTGCCTTCTCAAGACCAAATAAAGTACAAAGAGATTTTAGTAGTTTAGCAGTTCTAACTGCTGTATAATATGTATTGCTATTTGAAATTATTGGATAAAGCAAATAAATAATTATATTAATGATATAAGAAATGAGAAATTTTCTGGGTAAGAGAAATGAGACACAATTTTTAAAAATCAAAGAAAATAAGTGAAAACACTGCTACTAAATTATTTCATTTTAATTAAATAAAACATGTGTATGTATGCATATATATATTAAGGTTAGTAAACAGTAGTGATATTTAGGTGGTACAAATATGACATTTTTATATTAACGTTTTGCTTGTTTGTATTTTCTAATTCTCTATAAGACACACGTACTATGTCAAAACTAATATATTGGGGGTGCCAAAAAAAAATGTATGTGCATTTTAAGAGATGTTATCTACGTATTACCTTTCGAAGTTGAATTGAATGACAGTAGCAATGTGTAGTATGATGTTGGCTCAAAAGATGGCATTATTCAAATGAATGCTAGTGTCACCAAGGCAGGACAGTAAAAAAAAATGGCAGAAGCACAGTTATGGTTTGAGGCGTGCAAGACCATTTTGAAGTGGTATTTGAAATTCGAGAACGTCATGGAAGTACAACAATGGAGGCGTGAGTATGCAACAGAACCTCCAAGACGCCTGACAACTGCATGCATTCGTGATAAGCACGGTACTGTGTGATGAAATTGAAATGGCATATACAGTGATACAAGTGGACACTTTTGTCAGCGTTGCTCAAGCAGTAGTTTGCTATAATCAGAAGATTCTGGATGCTGATGGTAACTACTTTGAGCACCTCTTGTAATTGCAGAACTCAAACGTGACTTGTATTCATTGTTTGTTATTGGTATATATTGAGTATCACAATTTTAATAGTTGTTTGCTTTCTTAAAATGTGTATACATTTTTTTTTTAAAGATTTTATTGGGGAATTGGGAGAGGGGAACAGTGCTGGGGAATCGGGGAAGGGGAACAGACAAGTTGCTATCGTTTTGTTCTTCAGTCTAGTTGTGGAGGACGTTGCTTCACTGGCCCATGTTGGTATTATCATTGCACTCTTCCTGGGTGAGGCAGATTGGTCGCTGGCCACTCATGGCGGCTCTTCGCAGCTCACACCGGCTGCCAGCCGCTCATGCTGGCTGCCAGCCACACACAGTAGCTTATGGCAGCCCACTGCAGCAGGGGCTGCAGCCTATGCCGTCGCCGGCGACTCACAGCAGCCTAGCTCCAGGTTGAGCTGTTGTTCACCATCTTAACTGTAGAGGGCAGTGTCACTGGCCCCATGTGGGATCCGAACCGGGGCCCTGCTGCTCAGAGCTGGCGTCCCAAGCCACCTCTTAACCAACACGCCACTCGGCTGGCCCGTGTATACATTTTTTAGGCACCCTCTGTATATATAATTATTATATACATAGTTAATATACATAATGGGAACTTTCATGGTTATTGTACCAGAAATCAACAAAAATTTTACTGTTAATTAAAAAGAATTTAGCTATGGTGGGTTACATTTTGTGTTTGGGGTACAATGAATGGAACACTTGCATATGTAGTAGTTTCTAGCATGTAAGCTCACATGAGAACGAGTGTGGTGTGATGGTACAAAGCTTTGACTTACTTTTTCATCTGGTACTGGCCCTTCTTCACAGTCCCAAAGTTACCAGAGCCTAGTTCCTTGTCCTCCAGAGTCAGCAGCTTCCGGTCTAGGTAGACCTCCTTGGGCCTGATCTCCTCAGGGTCTGCATAGGGACTTTCGTACACTTCAGTGTCCATGGGTAACGCTTCTCTCTGGGTGTCTGCAATCAAATCAAGAAACACACACCCTGGGCTTGTGAAAATCCATCATCTCCCACTCCCTCCTCCTGTGGTCACAGTTCGCCTTTCGAGACCTTGATTACTTTGGGTAGTTCTGGTGCCACTGAGTACTCAAGGCACGGTCTCACCCAGCTCATGGCGGGGGGGGGGCAGCAAAAAATCTCCTCATCCCTATTGTATTTGACTCTCATTCTTGCGTTAATGTTTATCAAGAAAGTGTCTTTCACGCCAGAGGCAAAGACGGATGGGGCCCTCCTTATGGGCCATGGTGGCTTTAACTATGTCTGAAAATTCTGATCCTCCTTCCTTTGAGAGATGCAGTCTATGTCACCTCCCCTCAGTGGCTTTTGTAACTGTGTCAACTAACAGGGTTTCAGAAGAGACATTTGTGATATACTCAGGAGAGGCTATAAAAGGCTCGTTTGTTGGAAACCTGGCTCTTAAAGCTTCAGATGACATGCAAGGCGTCCAACTGCCTTGACACCTTCTATGTTGTGAGACAGCCCAGGCGGAGAGGCCCTGAGACTACATGGAGATGGGGAGAGGCTGGCCAGCCCCCAGGACCCTGGCCTCACCATGGTCCCCTCCCCTGCTGGCCCAGCTCCAGCCCTAATCTTACTGAGAGGCCCTGGGTCACCGCCCAGGTGAACCCCACCCAAATTCCTGACCTGCACCAGATAATTAAATGACTATTGTCGTTCTAAGCTACTAAGTTTTGGGGTGGTTTTTGTAGCAATAAACAGACCAAATTCACCAATAAAAAATGACCTGGGGTCATCTACAGAACCCAAGAGATCCTGTTTCTGGTAACATGTCTAATAGAGGGCTACTGAGGTCATCGAGGGTCTCACCCTGAGCTGCATCCTCTTGTGGACTCACCAGTGACCACAGTTCCCTAAACATGTCCGCAATCCCAACAGCTCAGACATCCCTTCAGGTTCTACCAGCCACATGGCTGTGCCTGCCGCTGAAATACATCACTGGACACAAACATTTTTCCAAGAACACAATCTTTTCAGAAATATGAGCCTTGAGTAGCATCAGTACTACCAATGTGGCCAGTTCACTGTGAGGGAGGCTGTACAGACCATCTCATCCAGCTGCGACTGACTGGTGACTAAAAGGGCGACTCTCACCTCTTTCCGCGTTCCAGTGCCCTCCGTCTGGCTCGTAGGGATTGAATGACAGAGAGTTCCCTGGCGAGTGCCCGGGCTGAGATAAGGGCTGAAGCACACAAAGAAACACGTCACTTTTCTTCATTGATACACTGCTAAGTTGATCTGCGTAATTATTTTTATTTTCAAACAATCACAATTTAACTTATGCAGGGAAGACAAAGGGTAGAACTAGGACAAGAGACACACACAAAAAAGCAACATGGCTTATCTCATTCTTCGGGCAACTGCTTAGATCCTGTGAGGGCAAAATACAGCTCCTGCTCCCACAACTCAAGGGGCCTGCGAGGTCTCAGGTTGTTGGGAGAGAATTCACAGGAATTCCCTCCCTACTTAGAAGCCTTTCAAATCCTACTTGTACCTCCCAAAAGATGCTGTGGATTTTCATTATTCCCTTGGATCCATTTACTCTTTCTCTTCAATTTTATACCATATGGAAGTTACTTAAAAAGAAACAGTAAATATCCGCCATCTGCTTCCGCTTACTCCCCAACTCCAAGGTATCTATGCAGTCTTAGTTTCCGCCTCTATCTTTGGCTTCTGTGGAGATCTAGCAACATTTGCGTAGATGCCAGAAGGTAGCACTAGCCAGTTAGTGGTCACCGTCACCACCATCATTATCATCATCACCACGGCCCTGGGAGGGGGAGAGCCTCTTTCTGGTAACTCGATGGGAGGTAATTCTTCCCTGTACCTAGAGCAAGTAAATGAAGCTTATCAAAGTAAAGTTTGCTGGCCATTGTTAATGGTGACCTTCCCTATTATTTATTTGATTTACATCAATTTGCATCATAAAATAATGGGGAGAAAATATCCTGATATTCCTATAACATTTCCCCTTTGAAAGTCTCTATCTCAGGTCTTCCTGATCCACCCTTACACACCACATGTAAAACAAGGGTATTGCTACTAAATCTGGTACATAAGAAAGCCACAATTCAATCCATTTTGGGGGTGTGAGTTGAGTAGAAAATTTATATATCCATTTACCGTGTCAGTGCCCAAGCATTGGCCACGAAGAAATGAGATACCGCAAGATATTGGAGAAGTTTAAAAAACAGACATTAAGCTTAATTGTACACATTCACTTGTCTTCTGGCACACACTGAATATCCTCGTCTGCCTTCCTGATGTCACAGTCCCAGGAGCCAAAGTACAACACTGCAGTCACAATGTGCTACAGCCACCACTCGGCCACTCGTCTCCAACCCTGGACTTCCTTCTTCACGCTGTCTACGGAGCACTACAGAGCCACAGTGCCCACAGTGACAAAGACCTGTGTGACCTGGCTAAAGGACACCTGCTCTTTTGTGTCAATGGGATGTCCTCATATCCATGTTCTCACTACTACCTCAGCAGCATTCTTACTGAATTGTTGAATGGAAGTAGCTATGAAATATCAAGGATGAAAATAACATCTAAGTGCCGGGGGCATAGTAATTCATTTACTGCATTAGAGCTTTGTCAGGTTCCCTGTTGGTGTTCAATAAAAATGTGTCAAACACACACATGATGAGTGAGTGAATGAGTGAATGAATGAATGAATGAATGAACAAGCTTGTTAAAGCTGGGAGAGGTGAAATGTACACTAGTGTCATATAAAAATAAGTTCTCTCTCTTTATATTAATGGAAGGAAATAGATGTGGATAATTCCAAATGACAATCTACCTTTTTAGAAATTTTGTGATTACAGCACTGTCGGATATGCTGTGAATTCATGTATCACTTGTAATCTAATTACCCTATCCTGGCAGAACTGTCATAGGAGAGACTAGGTAATTCCCAAGGCTTTCCATCCCCCGCCTCTGCTCAGTTCCCTCCTGAAATAAAACTCCAAGATGGAAATAGTTTTCAAATTAAAACAGAAGTTTCTTTTAGGATTACAACTTCTCTGATTTTCCCTGCAGGTAGGAAAGTACTGAGGTCCAAAGACAAAACTTTAAGACACCAGGACCATCAAGAGGGCACCAGAACCCCTTCTCATAACCTTATGCCCTCCTGCCCTTTGCCCACTTAAGACCATATGGGGATACAGTGTCTCCACCCTGGTCGAATGTTCTCCAGAGCAGGAGGACTTCATAAAAGCTGTTATATTTAAGCCAGGATGCGATTACCTGACATATAAATCCTATGAGGAAGAATTTTAAAACAGAGGTGGGGGTGTAAAAAAACACTGCCAGAGATGCCAGGGCATCCGGAGTACGCCAGGATAGGTAGTGATGGACGCAGTGAACTGAAAGCCCTGGACATAGCTTACTCTGGTGGGTGGTGTGGTGTTCACCAGAGTCTGTCTAGAGAAGGAAACGGGTTGAGGGTCCCCTCTGAAAGACAGGACTCCATGTTTTCAGCAGAGGTGTATCAGAGCTTCTTTCAATGCTGCCCGCACAGACCACCACACAGTTATAGCCTTCAGAGCCCGGCCCAACTCCACCTTTTCCTAAATAACTGTGTCAGCTCCCCGCCCCAAACCCTGCCCTCCCACCCACAGCGGGACAGAAGATGGCAATAGGCTCAGGAGAATGGCCTTTGGAAGACATGGGAGGCTTTCTGTTGTGTTAGTTAAAAGGGCGGGCATGACTTTATGATGAAGGCGAAGATACAAAAAGCAAGTTTCATCTTTCCCAAAACACTTAATGAATATGTCAATTAGTAGAAGAGCAACAACAAAAACCTTCTAGAATTGAATGCTCAATGGAAAAGAATTTAAGGACTTTGTAAAAAATGAGCTCTAAGGCATAATAGTAAATTATAAAAATATAGATTAGTATTTAAAATTGAATAAAATTTTAATTTAATGAAAAGCATCTTGTTGGCTCATTATACCACTTGTCATTATTCTTTCTGCTTTGTGTTTCATAATTTATTTGCCCTAATCAACAGCATCACCATTTCTGCTTCGAGAACAAGGTGTAGATTAATGTTGACAATAGCTTTTTTCCCATTTTTGCTGATATTCAAAACAGAAGTCAAACCTGTAGCATGCCACTAGATGGCACTAGCTACCTTAGCTTTCTACCTTCCCAAAAGCAATTTGTGATTTTTCTTTTAAGTTTTATAAATTCTGGTAAAAACAGATCACTCCACAATAATAAAATAAAAATTAGGTCAGGTTATAAATTATGATCCCTGATCTCTTTTTTGCCAGGATTAACTGCAAGTAGAAAATGTATTTGACAAATATTCTTTGAGTGTCTAAGTTTAAGAAGTGGGGATTCAGAAGTGAACAAAAGAGAAAAAATATATTGCGCTTATGGAGCTGACAAGGCTAATTTGGAATTTCCTGATAGGGAGTATTGTTCATATCCTAATGTCCATTTCTAGACCTTAATTTTTGGACTTCTGGAAAGACATTTTCAAATCAGGCAACAGCAGTAATAAAGATGAGGACACACTTGTCACAATTGCAGTGACAAAAAGAGCCAGTAGGCTTCACTGGCTTCCATAAACCAACATGGTTCTGGTCTCTGGTGGAATGACTGGTCCCACAGGGGAATTAGGCCTCTCAGCTGAGGGCAGGCCCTCCAGGGCCAGGACATGGGATATTATTAGGTTTCTTTCAGATACAAGAAAGTAAACACAAGACTTTCATAATTAACCTTCCCTCACCTTAGAAGCAAAGATCTTAAGTCTGGCCCTTAATAACATTTTCTCAAGGCCTGGCCCACTGCTTTGGCATTACCAGACGAGTATGACGTGAGAACTTCTTTTTCTTTTTCTCTCTCCCAGCTGAACCCTAGTGAATTCTGTGTTTAAATATGTCGCAAAATATTCCAATCATCAATGCATGTGCTGGAATAAAACATGCAAAATGGGTTTTCATTTGAAATTCTGGAACTTTCCACAACTTAGATAAATGTGAATGCTGTGTCTCAGAGCATGTGCCTTTGAATTGTGGACCTGAAATGCTGTCTTCAAGTCTTTAAGGATGCTGGTCAAACTCTGACAACTTTCCTTAATAGAAGGATAAGTTAGTTATGTATTGGGCTGTCGGAAAAGTCATGATGCATTTTTGCAATGAAAAACATAGAAAAAATACATCATGACTTTTCCGGCAGCCCAATACTTAAAGTAGCAAAGAAAAATGTTCCAGTACCAGGACGGATTTTATTCATTTAAGGACTCCCAGTCCTTAAAGTAAGTGTAGGTAAGTGTATGGTGGGAGGTGGGGAGAGAGTGAATCACACTTGTTTTCTTTAGTTAAATCCAGTTGTATTTTTAAGTACTGAAATGTTACTAATCTCTAGAGAAAAGTTGAAAAGACATCTGCCCTTAAGTTTTCATCATGAAATTTTAAATTATTTGATTAATAATCTTCAAATTAAACTATACTTTTCATTATCTACCTATATGCTAGCTTTAATTTAATTATCAACCTATATGCTAGTTTTAATTTAATAGAACTTGAGTTCTAGCATGTACTTTTTGTGCCAGATTAAAACTATATTAATCAAATTAATCAAATTATTAGATCAAATTGATCAAATTCAAGTAAGTTATTTACACCTTAGCTAAACAGATGAAATAGTTGACATAATTCCCACTAGTCTTTTCTCAAAACTGGTTAAATAATGGAAAATTCCCCTTCTATTTGTGAAAACATAAATATTAGTTCTAAAATATTTCTGATGAACAATTAAAATATTTTTAATATATAGCTTAAATCATACAATCCTTTTCTTTTATCAATTAACTATTGATATCTTTGACATCTATGTAAAAATTCAATGCATACTTCAAAGTGGTTATACATTTAAATAAACAACCTGTTTTTCTTTTTGTCCAGAAAAGTATTTTCACAGAATTAATCAGGTTAATTACATTCTAATATTTAATTCTCTATTTAAAAGTTGATTAAATAATTTTAATAGGTGCAAATTTAAAAAGGCACTATAGGGTTTAAAGTGAAAAGTGGGTCTCTTTGACACCCCTGTTTTCTTCTCTCGAGGTAACTAGTGTTACTTGTATACTTGTATTTTCTATATTCTTCCAGAATATTCTATACTGCATCAGCATATATATATATATATATATATATATATATATATATATATATATGCATGCCTTTGTTGTTTGCAATTAATATTGTATTTTGGAAACAATTTTAGATCTCAGCCCCCTCCCACAGTATGAATTTTATTGTAAATGAGTACATTTATTTCTCATTGATAGGTTTTAAATTCTTTCCAGACTTTGTCAATTAAACAATATAAGAATAAACACCTTCATATATACGTACATGATTAAACAAATGCAAGAATATCTGTATGATACATACCTAGAAATAAAATTGTGGTTAAGAAGTTATATGTGCTTTTAATTTTGATGGATGCTGTGAAATTGCCTTTTTCAGAGATTGTACCATTTCACACTTCTCCAACAAAGTGTGAAAGTGCTTATCTACCATACCCTTGCTGCACATTGTGTCACCAGGCTTTTTTACTCGGATCAATTTTACAGGTGGACATAACACAGCACCATAGTTTTAACTAGCATTTCTGTTATTATAAAATTGACAGCTTTCCCTATGTTTAAGAGCTATTTATATTTGCTTTACTATAAACTACCTACTGACATTCTCTGCCCAATAGCCTATTAGATAGTTAAAACTTCTCTAACTGATTTATAGAATTTCTTTATATATTAAAGTTATCAACCTTATATATTTGTCATCATTACTAATACTTATTCCCAGTTTATTATTTCTCTTTGGATGATGTTGTGATTCTTATCTATGTGTATATTTCTTTATTTTTAGGTAGCCTTACTGATATTTTCTTCAACTTCCTTTAGACGTGTTCTCCCTTCGTCTAAAGGTCTACTAAAACTTATTTTCTGGATTTTTCTTTATTCAATGTGAGTGACCTGAGCTGGCTTTAGCCTGCTTGGGACAACGATGGAAGTGGGAGTAGGGCTTATCTCCTCACAGTGCTGGGTTACTGTTTCCTGGGGTGACGGCATTTTGATGTGTCAGCCTAGCTAGCCTGAACTACAATCCTCTGTTATTGAATGAAACCCTGAATGGGTACTGCTAGGGAGGAATTTTACAGCTGCCAATAAAATCCCTAATTAGTTGATTTAAGTTGGTGAGATTGTCCTGGGTGGCCCTGACTTAATCAGTCAAGAGCCCTTCGAAGAGAGCTGAGGCTGTCCCAAAGGAGTAACAGGTGTGGGGGTGGGGGCACAAATGACCCCTGGCTGTGGGTGACAGCTGCAATTGTGCCTGAGAGGTTCCATCCTGATCGTCTCTTCCTGACGGCCTGCCCTACAGACACCAGACTTACTCAGCCAGCCCCTACAACTGTGTAAAGCAAGTCCTTGTGTTAAACCTACATATGCATGTGTGTGGGGTACCTGTATATAGATGTGTGTAGGTATAAAAAGGTATATATGTGTGTGCATTATATATATACACCTATGTGTGTGTGGGGGTGTGTGTGTCTGTTTTACACATAAATCTCCGACTGGTCATGCTCCCCTGGTTGAACCCTGAGTGATACACTAGGAAACCACAGAATTAAGATAAATGTGGAATGCTGTGTCTACTCTGTTTACAGTGAAACTGCTCATGCTCATTTCTGGGTCTGCACCTGGGCTGCGGGACTGTGTGTTGAAACACGGGCTTTGGCCTTCATCAAGAGAGTGATGAATAAACACGGGTGGGAACCAGGGGTGTGGCCCACTTCCACAAAAGGCTTCCTTCATGGCTCCAGGCAGACCCTGTAAGTGGAGTGGCCAAGGAAGCCCGGAGAGTGAGGGGCTCTGGGGCTGCGGATGGGGCGCTGGGTACGCTGTGTGTCCTGTCCAGAGTCATTCTATGAAGCTTTGTCAACGCAGCACTTGTTTAAGGATCTACCATCTTTGACTGCCACACCAAGGTAGTAAAGTCACTAATTTGAACTGAATTTGTAATCCTAACCTTGCAAACACGATTCATGACTGAAAAGCACCCTGAATCAGAAAACATTTTGAGTCACCCCACTTGATGGGGCACCATCTGGCCTATTTACCACTGGACTATAGTCCTATGAGGTGTCACCCCGGCAACTGAGCAGAGCCCTGTCCTGGGAGGAGGGGTAATGCCGATAGGGGTCCAGGGCCAGAAAGTGGCAACCATAGAGAATTTTGCCTTGGATCATGGGGAATGTTGACATGTTCAAGGCCAAAGCCTCAATCACCTATTGGCCCTGGTCTGGAAACACACACCAAGTTGTAGGGCAAAAGGGACACTGACATAGAGAATATATCCCCTTGACAACCTGGTCCCCAACTCCTAAGATGCCATCTCTGGCTTGGGCAGCCCTCACTGTCGCCCCCAAAAGCAATGCCCCATCATAGCTGACAGTTCCATGGGCTGATGCACACTGACGGGGGATATGACATTAAAATAGTTATCCCATTCAGGTTTATCACATAATTTTTCCCCTCAAACACCACCTTAAACTCACTTCTCTATGGTATATATTCTATGGTCAACAAGATGGAGAATGTCTTCAGTCTGACTGCCCACTAGGTAAATTTATATTAAATAAAATCTCAGGGCTTTTATGCTTTTTAGTTTCTGATTCTCATAAGTACTTTAGGCAATCTACTTTGTGAGTTGATGCCCAATGATATGCTAAAATGTTTGGAAAAATACTAACTGATATGAAAATAGAAAGCATTATTAATAAAAAATTAACTTTTATTAATTTAAAAATTAAATTAATAAAAAATTAACTTATTAATAAAAAATTAACCACTGATGATAAAAGTAGCAATGGGAAAAAAGCAATCCATATACATTATATATATGTATGTATTTTTTGAGGGAGGTGATTCATTACAAATAAGTCATTAAAAAAGAGCTTTTTATTTCCTTCCTAATTCAGTAATCTAGCAAAATATAAAAATGCTTCCTATGTCAACCCTCCTGCCTCATAAACATAAATGGTGTTTCTAATCCTCAATTTCCTATCTTTATACATCTTACTTTAAAGTTCTATGTTGGAAATCTATAGCCATAATGAAGTTATTGAGGCACTTGATACCTATGAAATAAACAACCTTAAGCCCTCACTGTGCAGTGCCCACTATATCTTGATGTTTCTTCAATCAACATGTGATTTATGTCATCAATTACCATAACACTGCAACATATGATTATGGTAACTTAAAAGTCACTTGGCTCACTTGGAAAAGATTTTCCAATATGAGAATTAGCTCCCACCTATCATACTGACCCAAATGACTTTCAAGCACACACGTGAGCAGAGAGAGCACACGCACAGTGATGCACTTTGCAGTAAAGTGACCAGGACCCACATGGAAAGCATAGTGTGTACCTGGGTGGACTGCCCATGAGGGCTACACACGGCACAGAGACGTGAGGCCAGAGCAGCAGGCGGGCAGGTCAAGGCAGCGCACACGAGAGCAGCCAGAGGGGGTGGGGCAGGGGGCGTGGACGCTGAGTGCGGGTCAGTCCTACCACTTAGTCAGGGACAGCAAGCAGGGGACGTTTAGCACCTTTTTGCCGCCAGGCTTTGGGAAGGAGTATGATTTGATTCTGGAGATTATTCCACCTGCTGACCAAGTCTAGAAACCATAATGGCAAAGAGGAAGAGTAAATGTTTCAGAAAACAAATACAGGCTACGATGCATGACATGCTATTTTAACTGCTTTATAATTACACTGCCAGCCCCTACAGGTCCTGCCGCTGTGATTCCCCATGGGCAACCGTGACCATGAGGAAGCCCTCAAGAAAAGCCAGCACCTGAGCATAAGGATCTGAAAAATTATTGGGGTAATATTGGGTTGTCGGAAAAGTCATGACGTATTTTTTTCTATGTTTTTCGTTGCAAAAATGTGTCATGACTTTTCTGACAACCCAATATTTTCCACGAAAAGCTAGAGCAGGGGTCGGCAAACTTTTGCGACGGAAGAGCCATGAGGGGGTCAGCAAACTGCAGCTCATGAACTATGGCTCTGAGGTAAAATTGAAAATGAAAATAAAACTATCATAGTTTCATTTATAAAATTTTTACAGGATATTATTCACATAATGGTGACTATGTAAAAATACATTTATGGCTCTCAATAATTTTTAAATTGTTGTGAGGGACAGGATTGGCTCTTCCAGGGGTCGGCAAACTTTTGAGATGGAACGAACCCAAAGAGCCACATGTGGCTTGCAAGCTGCAGTTTGCCAACCCCTGGGCTAGAGAATTAGAGCTGTTACATTAAACAGCCTATGTTTCATAAAGCATTATTGAATTTCAAACTTAAGGAAAATCATCCTAAAGAAACTAAAAGGAAATCTGACTGCCTAATTTTGTTACTTCTTTGGGGTGCTGGCTGCATAGTGTTTGTGGAAATCCATTGAGTTGGACACTTAGGGCAGGTGCATTTTTTTCTGTATGTATCTCATCAGTAATAAAAAGTTCTTCCAAAATATCTAACTTCTTGAAGCCATTGGGTGATATATAGCTAAATATAGGGCTTGATATTCTTTTAGGAGTTCTCAGTGCTCATCCATCTTAGAGGAAAATGGACGTCTCGTGGAACATACATGTTAAAGCAGAGTCACCAGGCCAATGAGCCACGTAAAGAGTGACAAAAAACGACTCCTTAAAGGTGCTGTACTTTAGGTGTCGATCCTAAAATTCACTGGTATTTTAGCAAATTCCAGGCCTCCCAAACTGGAGATGAGTGCTGTCCCCAGAGAGCCTCCCAGTTTCATCACAGGCACAGCTTCTAAGCCGTCACTAGTCCCCGCTGGGGGCAGAAAGTGCATTCCAGATTTTTTTTAAGGGCTAAAAGGCAAAAACGTGACGGTTAGAGCAGACTGCTGGTGTTGGGAAATGTTTACACTTCACAGATGGCATTAAAGGGAATCAAAGGTTCACAATGAGGTCCCCAAAAAAGGCATAGGAAACCAATTCGCGCTTTGAGTGTAAATTCATGCATCAGCTCGTAAGTCTGGAGGGAGGAAAGAGGTGGAAATCTCTCTCTTTAGGTGCATTAGGCATGTTTCAGGCCAACTACCATGAAGAAGCCTGGACAGGCCATGTTCTCGCCTCCTATTGATGGGGGAAGGAGGTTCTGGCTAAGTGCCCGACTGTCCTCTAGGGCTTCTCTCCTCTGATCCATCAAGCACTCCCCAAGCCTTCCTCTGCTAAGCTATTGTCAAACCAACTTTTGTGGAAAGGGCAAGTCTTCTAATAACAATGTCTTTGCTGATTTAACCCAAAGGCTTGGGCAGACAACGTCACTGAGACATCTTATATACCAGACTTGTTACACCGAGCATGTGCGTGGTCATGTGGATTATGCCCACGCGTCCACATAGATGGTTCAAGACTGAGCCTGAACAATATACTACCATTTCCCTCATCTGCTAGAAGGCATATTTCTGATTTAACATTGGGTTTCATGAGCATTGTGTATATTGTCAACAAATGGAGGGAACTTAACCTACGAAAGCAATTAACTTGGCTAGCTTCGAATTGAAAACAGGCCGATTCTAGCTGACAGCAGCCTAAACAATTACCGCTACTCCTGTTAGCCCAGACATGCTTTCATTATGCTAATATACAACTGCTCCACCTTCATTGGTATTTCTAGTAACACTTACCGGAGGATGGGCCCCTGGAAGTTGTGGACGAGCTCCAAAATTAATACTTCCTGGTGAGAAAGAGCACGGATGATTACTGCCACATCAATGAAAACCGCCCGTTTTCCCCCTCCCCACTGCAGACCAATCAACGTGACTGTAAAATACTGCAGCTTAAAAAGCAGATACATTTTCTGGATACATTTCTTTTTATTCTCTTTCACTCAAACTTTCTCACTCATGCAATTAAAACTAGTTAGTTTTTTAAAGTGAAAGTTATTGGCTATTTTTTGATTAATGATACATGTAAACCTGGAGCAACCTGACATTTTTAATCAATCAGTAAAAACAAGGTGTCATCCCACCTGAATTTGCAACAGGCCAAATCTAAAATGAGGCTGATTGTTACTAGATTATTATTATTATCTAAAAGACTGAGGCTCCAGTGTTTTAGTGACTCACCAGTTTGATCGCCAATTTTTTGACATGGAACTGTAAGAACTCTTAACAAACCATCTGGTTTATAAGAATAATGCTCGACTAGCTGAAAGAGAAGAAAGTAAACAAGTTGCAATAAATAATGGAGGCAGGAAATGAAATCCTACCTGGAGCAGCAGACTCCCTTTTCAAACTTTAAAGTGATTCCAGGACAATCCTTACCAACAAGGGCAACCCTCAACCTCCCTGGGCCATGCCTCTCCCTCCCACCCTCAGACTCAGGACAGTTCACATGTTGCCTTGCCTTTGGGACCCTACTCCCCTCGGCTGGCTCGCACTCGCTCGCGCTCTGTCTTTCTCCCTCACCCCTCTTTCTCTCTCTTTCTTTTTTGATAGCAAGTTGCCCTTACAGTATCTGTTTATATTCTCCTGCATCTGTATGATATGAAAATGACCTCAGCATGCTAATATTCACTCATTCAGTCAATCAGTCATTCAACAAACATTCTGCTTCACTGAGCCCTGAGAAAGGACAAAGGTAAACTAAGGGGAATAACATATTTCCTGCCCTCGAAGTGTTTACTTTCTTGGTGGAGAGACAGATAGTGAGTAATGCTGTTAACAGTCCTGTGGGCAAGGACTTTGCAGGGACCAAGTCACTCAGCCCAAAAGCTTTAGAGCGAAGACACCATAGCACAGGTGACATAGGAGCTGGGAGATGGGGAAAGGTGACCTTTTGGAAAGTGGCCTTATGTTGACAGGACATGGACATCCTTGGCTAATCATTCCCAGAAAACTGTGAAACATGATATCCAATTCCTACATTAAAAATAAATTGATGACAAGTAGATTTATTTACATCAAAATTATGCAATAAGAAGTCTTAGTATGTCACATTTTCTTTTTTCATACAGATATTTCCTCTTGAGTCCACCTAAAATCTTCCTATCTGATATTTCTTGCTTATCTGTTTATCGATAACTTTTCCAGTACCAAAACTTACCTACTTGGGTGAACATTTGTTGAATGAATATATTTTACCCTTCAGATAACATTCTTTTAAAAAAAACTTTATTGTGATAAGAACACAACATGAGAGCTACCCTCTTAACAAATGTTTCAGTCTGATCAGTCCTAACATGCTATTGAAATGGGCACCAAAGCTCTCCCTGTTGTTCAATGCAATAATACTGTATTTTCCCGAAAATAAGACCTAACTAGAAAATAAGCCCTAGCATGATTTTGCAGGATGCTTGTAATATAAGCCCTACCCCAAACATAAGCCCCAGTTAAGGTCACCTGCCAGACATGACTGTTTGAATAATTGTAGACTTTTGTACATGAATAAATGAATAAATGTATTGTAGGGGCAAAAATTAATATAAGGCCTGGTCTTATTTTGGGGGAAACATGGTAGTATGTTCTCAAGCTAATGGTATTGAGGTCCCTAAAATAGACGAGACATCTCATCCATCTTTCCAGTGTCATTCAAACATCTCCTTTAATGCTTGTATTTTCAGACAATCTACTCCACAAGGGTGGCTGAGAGGTGGGCGTACTTGTAGGAGTTTCCCTCTTGGGCAAGGGTCTGCAAACTTTTTTCTATAAAGGGCCAGACAGTGATATTTTAGGCTTTTTCAGGCCACATACGATCTCTGTCACATGGTCCTTTATTTATTTCAAACAACCTTTTAAAGTGTCAAAACTTCTTCAACGAGTATACAAAAACATGCCAGGGCCAGATTTGGTCTATGGGTTTGCTAACTCCTGCTCCAAAGTGAGGAATACTAGAGTAGTATAGCAATTAACAACTTACAGAAACATAGCACTAGGCTCCTGGCTGAGGGGAGAGCACAGAGGTACCCTACATTGCTACCTTGCCGTCGAGAAAAATCCATGAAATCATGCTGGTAAAAATGAAAGACACTGGTGGCATTTTTGGTGTTCCTTCTTAAATGTGGTGGTTAGAAAATATACAATGGGAAGGATTTAATTAGGGCTGAATACTATCATCTTCTGGAGAAATCAATAAATATGGGGCAGAGTCTTCGGAAGGAACTTCCCAACAATTAGAGATGTTTAGCATTACAGTGAGTGCACAGACTCTGAAACTGTAAGTGGACTCAGAGGAGAAGGGTCATTCGGAAGAAGCCCTGTGGCTGTGCACTGGTGAGGGAGCCCAGGGCCTTCAGGCCTTTAAATGCACCATTAACACACCATGTAAAAGTCAAGAGACTTTGATGGGAAATTAATTCCGGAAGGCAACATTCTCTACTCATTTCTCTGACTTGCAGTGGGCTACCTGACAGGCTAACTGCTCTTTCAAATCGATACCATTAAAATAAAGCAAAGCCTGTGGTTGATAATGAGCCCTATGCTAATGTGCTACAAATCAAATAATGAGGTCAGTGTTATAACTGATATGAACATTACAATACTCAGCAGTCAGAAAAGAAGTTCTTGTTCCAATTATAGCATTAGAAACCAAAATACATTAGGTGGTGGTTACTCTATGTGTGTTCAAGGTAATGAGGATCCCTGGCCTCAGTTTTTTAAAAGATGAGATTTCAAGTTGGGACCTTGCCTCGGTATTACCACACGTGAGGTTCCTGGCCAGGCCCTCACCCACAAAAGCGCAAAAGCGCAACGTAGCTGTTGCTCTTCGGGTAGCAGAGGCCCTCGGTTTTCTCCGTCTCTGCCCCACTACAGTGTATAGGGCGTTTCACTAAAATGATGTCATTTCTTCAGGTAACTTCATTCAGCTTGAAAATGAAGACAAGCTGGTCATGCCCACGACAGCCTCATGGAAAACAGCAGTGAGCACTGGTTAGTGCTCCTTGTGCCTAAGTAACACCACGATTATGAGCTGTTTCAGGTTTACTAACAGTCGGGTCAAGAATAAACCTTTCAGATCAGGGTAGCACAACCCTGTGCAGGAGGTGGCTGGGAGCGTGGGAAGTGCTGCCTAACTTTCTAAGTTGCCTTATTTCAACGGAGACTCATTTTGCAGCAAGAATGGCACCTGACATTTTATATTCAACTTGGCCTTGCACAGTTAAAAGAACAGTCAGATCGGCCACCTCCATGCCTTCTTCCCAGCCATCCATGCCTTTATTTTGTGTGTATTTGTCTGAAAGGCTGCTCTGGGTTCCAGTAAGAATGTCTTAGAGAGAAATGTTTTCTAGTCCCCAATGCAGGGTCCCTGTTGAACTCTGACCACAGTCCTGTGTGGACTCCGCCCTGAGGTGCCAAGAGCTGACTAGCCCTGGAGAAGCTACAGAACCTTGTGGAGCCTCATTAACCTGATGACTCTAGGTCAGCACTTTGCAAACTTGGCCACTGGTACTCAGCGGCACCTAGGGTAGAAGGGCAGGCTCTGGTTGGGCAGGTCTCGGGCAGAGTCCCAGGCAGCGACTCTAGCAGGTCCCCGGGGCTCTGTCCCCCTCATTCCCAGGGCGCTGTGTACCTGCCAGAGCGTGTCGAACTTCTTGCCATCGGGGATGGAAAGCTTGCCTGTCTTGTCCTTGTCGATGCGGTAGTGCAGCACCTTGCCCTCGTGCAGCAGGCACAGGGCGTAGGACCCATTGTTGTCCCTGGCCCTGATCCTGGAAGACAGGAAGATCCCATCACCCCTACTCCTACCCTCTGGCAGGAAGAAGTGCCCCAAAAGGGCAGCCGGCAGCAGCGTCCCCACCTCAGGGTTAAGGGAGGCCTCACTCATAGCTCAGTGATGCCAAGAGCTCGCGACAAGGAGATCCTATGGCTCAGGGCTGGACTGCAGCCAAAACCCAGAGGGCCATGCCCCAGGTGGGCATCAGGAGAGGCCGAGGTTCACCTGGATCAGCAGTGCTGCTCAGGGCACCAGCAGGTAAGACCCACAGGACCCCAGAGCTGGGCAGGGGGTCTGCGGAGCCTCTGACTTACCTCCTCTCTTCACTGAGGTCCGAGTCCCAGAGGGTGCTGCGCCTCCCAACCCCCGGCCCAGGGGGGCAAGGGGTGGGGATTATGATGGGCACTCTAACAAGGAGCCTCTGGCCCACAGATGGAGGGGCGGGAGGGCCCCCACTCCCAGGGCCCTCTTCACCCCCTCACACTCTCCCTTCTGCAGGGAGAGCAGGGAAGAGCTGGGATTTAAAATGTTCGTCCACATGATACAGTCAGAAGAAGTCACCAGGAGAAGAAACTGTCACTCACTGTGGGGTGGGAGGCGCAGGGGACATGAGGGTTGCACTGGGCTGAGCTGACCACCTGGCTCTGCTTCCACATCCTGGCGGGTCAGTGGGTGCCGCCCCTCCCCTTATCCATGGGAATGAGACCTGTAAGTCCAAAACCAAGCAGCAAACACGCTACTACAACGCACAAGAGGGGGTCTTGTGCCTGCGGGGAGGAGGAGGAGGCCCCCTGGGAAGGCCAGGCCGGGACTGCAAAGGCAGCGAGTGGGTGCAAACCCCTCCCCCAATCAGCTAAGTCACCCCCACCCTCAGCCCATTGTCTCCTTCCAGCAATTGAGCTCTTCAGATCATGAGGTCTGAGAGAGGCTGAGACCCCAGAGGTCCTAGAAAATGGTCCAGACCTGACATTTCCTAAAATGAGGGAACTGAGGTCCTAAATGGTAAGAATGTGCCTCAATGCACTTTATTTGGGGAAGAGTTCAAAAGTGTGACACTTCCAGGGGCTGCTGGGTTTGGGGGACATTTCTGATGCCTCCTCCCAGCTGCAAAAGGTCTCTCACACAAGATGGGTTTGGAACAGATGTGGTCTTACTTTCCTGTCCTCGGTCTTCTAGATCCATCTCAAAAGGCTAACCTGAGACTTGAGAGCTGAGCTGTGTTGTAGGGGGTGGGAACTTTGTTTCAAAAATAGATTTCTTTTCAAGTCGTGCTCAGCTGTGCACGATGGATGGGCTCTTTCCACACCCCACTGCTCAGGGCGGCAGGTGCAGGTGGAGGGGCCCGTGTGGACGCTCCTTGGCCTTGGTGGGGCCGATTCTGAAAGCTCTGCACTGTGACAACAGTTCCTCCCGCAACCCAAACAGGTCACCAGCACCCTGAGGCCTAAGCTACACGCCCAGTAAGGCCAGTTGGTTGCTATTAAACTACGAACCAACCACACAGGAAAGGTAAAACATTTTTATAGGTGGAAGAACTGAATGTATTTTATAATGTGAGACGTGAGACTGTTAATATTATTTATTATATAAGCATTAGTGGCAAACAAATAGGATAGTTTGGAGGAATAAGAACTGTACCAATTCTTAATAACAAGCATTATAAATGGATGCATGAATGCAGGATCATATGAAAGGTGACCTCAGGAGCATGATGTCCAACAGGCCATTCAAAAATATCATTCTCCTTGATTCTGAGTCCTTCACAACTTTGACCTCAGAGTTCTAGAAACAGTAAATGGGATCGGAACTCTGGTTTTCTGACTTATGTCCAATCTCTATCACTCCGTCTTGCCTGATGCCTTGTTTCACCTTTTCTTGTTACCATTTCCCCGAAAATAAGACCTAACCAGAAAATAAGCCCTAGCATGATTTTCAGGGTGCTTTTAATATAAGCCCTACCCCAAACATAAGCCCCAGTTAAGATTGTCAGCCAGACATGACTGTATTTGAATAAATGTATGTTTTTGTACATGAATAAATGAATAAAATGCATCTTTTGGAGCAAAAATTAACATAAGACCTGGTCTTATTTTGGGGGAAGAATGGTACAACTGAGACAGAGGATCACAGATTGCCTAGGAAGATGGTGCAATTGCCTCATTAGGAATCTGGGAAATACAAATTAAGACCACAATGAAGGGGCTGGACGAGTGGCTCAGTTCGTTAGAACATGAGCTCTGAGCAACACGGTTGCCAGTTTGATTCCCACATGGGTCAGTGAGCTGTGCCCAAGCTGAGCTGCTGCTGAGCTGGTGAGAGCACATGCTCCTAACAACAAGGTTGCCAGCTGGACTCCTGCATGGGATGGTGGGCTGCATGCGTTCCCCCGCAACTAAAATTGAACATGGCACCTTGAACTGAGCAGCCGCGAGCTGCTGACGGGCGGCCGGATGGCTCAGAGTGCAACAAGGCTGCCAGTTTGACTCCCGCATGGGACGGTGGGCTGTGCCACCCCGCAACTAGATTGAAAGCAGCGACTGGACTCAGAGCTGAGCTTGCGCCCTCCACGACTAAGACTGAAGGACAACAACTTGACTTGGAGCTGATGGGTCCTGTAAAAACCACAATGTTCTCCTTCCCCAATTTCCCAAACACTGTTCCCTTCCCCAATTCCCTAATAAAAATCTTAAAAAACAACAACAACAACAACAAAACCCACAATGGAAGTAGCATGACACACTCCAGATGGCAAACATTAAAGACTGATTACTAAGTGTTGCTGAGAAAGGGGCCACAGACTCCCTGCTATACTGCTGATGGGAGTGTGATTCTGACCATTTTGGACACCAATTTGGAATTTTCTACTGAAATCGAACGTATTTATCCTTTGTGAGTCAGCAATCCACTCTCAGGTGTACAAAATTTGTGCACTGTGCACCCAGAAAGTATGCTGGGGTGTTAATAGCTGCTTTATCTGTGATGACCAAATACTGGAAATGACTTGAATGAAATGCAGATGCACAAAGAAACTGTGGGATGCTCATATAATGGACTATCGTAGGACAACCAATGGACAAACAACAGTGATACAAAGCACAGATGATTTTCACAAACATAAAGCCTACACACCAAGTTCCCAAACAGGCGAAAGCAAATGGTTTTGTTCAGAGGTATCCCCTAGGTCTTTGGTGGTAAAACTAAATAAAATTTTAAAAAGGTAGAAGAAACTGAAGGCATGCATTTGCATGCTGGACACGAGAGTCCAGGAAGTGGTATCCTCTAGCGGGGCGAGGTGTGAGTAAGGGACCTTCTGCGATGCTGGTGTTTAGCTTTATGCCTCTGGTGGTGTTTGCTTGTTCAGTATTTACTAAGGTGCACACACAGAGTGATGTGTTCTTTTGTGTGTTTTATATTTCATAATAAAAATAGTATGAAGAGAGACCTGGTGCAAAGGGGAAAGAAAGTGCCCTTGCTTTTAGACAAGCGATTTCTGCAAAGGCACACACTCCTTTGAGTCTCCTTAGAGAAAAGATCCTGGAATAGTCTGTCCCAGAGCTCCAGCCAGACAGCCTGTGCCAGCTCTCGGGACAGCAGCGGTGACAGCGACCCTGTGAGCACACTCTTAAGCACTTGTCTCAGGACAGCAGGCACAGGGATGGGTCGTGGACATGAAGCCTAGCAGCCCTCTAGGCAGCTGGCAGGAAACGAGGGCAGAGAAGGGAAACCCACAGGCCCAGCAGCTGTAGTTGGCAAAGACCAGAGGCCCGGTGACACTAACGGCCAGTAACTGTGAGGTGTCTGCTGGGTGCAGGTAGATCCTGGGCGAGGCTATTTTTAATCGAAAATATGGGCAATGCTGGTTTGGAAGCTGAAGCAACTCCTCCTCTTGGTCCACCTGTTCTCAGGAAAGCACCCCTCTGCCCCACACCCCCACCGCGTTTGTCGCACAGGCGCCCAAATCGGGGTGGAGCAAAGGCTCATCTTCCGACTCCTCTCGGGCTGCCGCCTTCCAGCCTCAGGGTCAGTGGCCTCCAGCATTGTTCACAGAAGCCCTGAATATTTTCTCCAATGACTCTCTTGGAAAAGTCAAGCTCACAACAGATTTGTGTTTTGCTATTATAGAGCACGGGATTTCAGTGCTTTCAATTGAAGCTAGGCTGTGAAGTTGTCTTAACTGGCCTTAAGACTATCTTGATGTCATGTGGCATGGCGACTCTCCTTGGCGAGAGGTCAGGAGAGCCACTCTCCTCCAAGGTGGACAGCCTTAGGGTCTGTGAATGAGCAGGCCTTGCCCCTCACAGATATCAAAACACTTGACAAAGGTGAGATGGGGAGCGTGCTGGTTCTGCGAGGAGAGGCTGAACCCCTACACCCTGCTGGATCAGAGAATGTGTGGTGGTGATGCCCACACTCTGAAAGGGAAGTGAGGACTCAGGAGGTGGTGGGACCCTCAAGGCAGTCCCCTCCCACTGAGGTCCTGGGACACTGCACTGTGTCTGCTGCAGACAGAACAGCTGGGCACATCCTAGCGCACCAGCATTCTCGCTCCCCTATGCATTTTTTTCCCATGGCAGAGCTGGAGGGAAAGGCGGGCGCCTGAGATGGACAATGTGCACATGATGGATGGTCACTGTGGCTGGGGCGGACCATACAGATAGACAAGAGGGGCACCCACAGCCAGCATTCACCCTTCGGTCCAGGCCTGATGCTGTATCAGGTGGTGAGATATTGCCACGTGGGGCCTAATGGCAGCTTCTCAAGACACAGAGAGCTGGGGAACAGGGAAGGAGAGTTTGCTGGTGTGACATACTAGAGACAGTGTACATGCTGATATGAGGACAAGAGCCCCTTAATTCAGGAGAAGTGCCAGCCCTAATGACCCATGAAAGACAGAAGAAAATGCAATGGTTGGGTGCTTTTGCGCGGCACTATAGCAAAATGTAGGCACATGTGCATTCCATACAAACAACGCAAGCAGGATCGTTGCAGAACACA